CAGCTCGGTTGGTACCATTAAAAACCTTTCCAGAGGCGCCTGGTGGCTTAGTCAGTTAAGCATCCGACTCTTGATTTTGGCTCAGGTCCGATCTCAGGGCCTGAGATGGAGCCCGCGTCGGGCTCTGCATGTGCACTGGGCTTGGATCCTGCTTAAGATTCTCTCTCTCCCTCTGCACCCCCACTTGCCTCTAAAAAAACAAAACAAAAACAAAAAACCCTCCCAGAAGCTTTACCCAGTGGGGCCTCCATCTTTATCTCTTTGGTCAGAATTGGGTCTCCCAGGAAGATGAGTTCGTGAGTCTTTCCATTTTCCGTCTCTTACTGTAGAGGAAAGTGAGGGCCAAGAGGGTTGGGACTGGCTTTGGGGTGTCTGCAAACATCATCCATATTATTCCATCATTTCCTCTCTTGAAGCCTCAGATTCCTAATCTGTCCAATGAGTGGCTTCTGGCTAGAAGAGCTCGCAGGTTGCTCCCCACACTTACATTCTCTTTAAAGGCTGTTTCTATTGAAAGCCCAAGTATTACTGTAATAAGCTCTGTGCACACCACCCAGGCCCCCGGATGTGGGCCTTAGCCCTCCAGCTCGTGGGAGCACCGCCTGCACTAGCCCCGAGCTGTCACCGTGGCTTAAGAGCTTCCCCACCCAAGGACACTCACTCCGTCCCTAGGTAGACCACACCCCGTGACCGGTGGAGCCGGGGCATAAGATCCCCCCTCAACCTGGCAACTCTGAAACTCTGTGCTGGTTGCAGAGCTCCCCGTGGGGTGGGGTACAGCCTTTGCTGAGCTTGCACTGCAGCACAGCCTCCCCCCTGCACACTCCCTCTGCCTTCCCTCTCCTCTTCTTCCACAGCTGCTGAACTTCCTGCCTGCTAGTGCCGGTCTCGGAACCCTAACTGCAACAATTCCTGAAAGATGTTCCTGAACGATCCTATTCCACGAGGAGCAGATGTGGTCTGACTTCGTGTCAGATCCCCCACCTTTGCTGGAAACCTCACTGGCGTCAAGCATCACTAGGGCTTAAATATCTGGAAGCAACAACTAAAAAATTAGCCTAAATGAATTTGGGCTAAATTGGGTGTTCCGAGAAAGAAGAAAATCTAAAAAGAAAGATTCCAGGAAAGTGATGACATTGAGACCAGGCTCTGGTCATTTCCTAATAGAAGATGCAGGATATAAACACATTTCTATTAACACAGGCTAATAAAGTCCCTGAGAACCTACATAAATTAGTTTCAATCTATATTTATATCAATCTATCATCTATCAGCTTTTTTAAATTTTATTTTATTATGTTATGTTAATCACCATACATCATTAGTTTTTGATGTAGTGTTCCATGATTCATTGTTTGCGTATAACACCCAGTGCTCCATGCAGTACGTGCCCTCTTTAATACCCATCACCAGGCTAACCCATCCCCCAACCCCCTCCCCTCTAGAACCCTCAGTTTGTTTCTCAGAGCCCATTGTCTCTCATGGTTCGTCTCCCCCTCCGATTTCCCCCCCTTCATTTTTCCCTTCCTACTATCTTCTTCTTCTTTTTTTTTAACATATAATGTATTGTTTGTTTCAGAGGTACAGGTCTGTGGTTCAGCAGTCTCACACAATTCACAGTGCTCATCATAGCACATACCCTCCCCAGTGTCTATCACCCAGCCACCCCATCCCTCCCACCCCCCACCACTCCAACACCCCTCAGTCTGTTTCCTGAGATTAAGAATTCCTCATATCAGTGAGGTCATGTGATACATGTCTTTCTCTGATTGACTTATTTCGCTCAGCATAATACCCTCCAGTTCCATCCACGTTGTTGCAAATGGCAAGATTTCATTTTTTAGCTTCTTAGTCAGACTTATGCTTCAATTCCAGCTGTATTATGTAAAATCCTGTCACCATGAATAAGTTATCGTCTCCTCTGAGACTAAGCTTCTTTACCTCCAAGGATGGGAAGGGGGTAAGTGAGAAAATATAGAATCTCATGCTTATATAAATACTGGCTCAGAAAATGCAGTTGATCATGGCAGCTCTTCACACTGGTACCTACATGGAAGTGATCAAGGGGAGTTTGGATAATTTTTTTTTGTCAGGAGTGCTGGAAAAGAAAATGTCTATCTTGGAAAGGAAGTTGATCTAGATTAGTAGTTTTTAAATCTTTTAAGCAGAATAATTATTTTTCTTTTTTCCAACAAGATCTTGCAAATAAAGCAAGGATTTAAAGTCAGGATTTTATTAAGCAAAATTTTGTAAGTTCAAGGATATAATGGCTAAAAATAAGTCAGTGGGATCGAAAGAAATTATTAAGATGAAAAGGAAATTTTGAAGTCAAGTTATGGATGGCAGTTACAGACTTGATGGCAGCATCTAATTTTTTTCTGAGTTTTTTGGTTGCACAGTATTGAAAAATCTTGACTCATACAGGAAAACAGTTACAAATAAGAACAGTTTAGAGCAACTCAGCCTGCAATCTCAGGATATTTCTCAATTAAATTGTGTTGACAGGAGACTTTTTTTCCAAGATCTGCAGAATGCCAAATTAATTTGACTGTGTAAGTCAGTGCACTGGTGGTCTTTGGTATGTTAAAATTTGAAATATAGTATTTTTTAGTGTAAGCATTGTTCTTTATTGCACTTTTATTTTTATTTATTATGTTCAATTAGCCAACATCTAGTACACCATTAGTTTCTGATGTAGTGTTCAATGATTCATTAGTTGCGTGTAACACCCAGTGCTCATCACATCACGTGCACTTTTAAAGACTAGTTTAAAAAGTTTTTTGAAAAATGAAACTAGAATCAAGCATTTTTGGAAGCCCTGGGATTCCATGGAATACTACAAGATTTGATGGAGATTCTATGCTTATTCCAAATGTTTAAATCTATGATTCTTCTGTCATTGGCTAGTTAGCACATCTGCCAAAGGTCACTCCCCAAGACACTTCTCACTGTCCACTGAGTGGGTTGAAAACCCTGCTGTACATTTGCTTTATCCTCTGGTGACTTCTAATGATAAGGCTGGGAGGGTAAAGTGCTCCATGCCTGGCACAGAATTAATGCTCCATTCCCAGTTGTTGACGTGAACGACCTACTTCTCACCACCAGGGGTGCCCATCAACCAAGCAAATAACAACTCCGCAGGTTAGAGTTTAATGAGGGAAATAAATCAGTGTGTTGGTCAAGGTGTTAGCTTTCTGGATTAGCAGCTAAGTTACTATGCTTCAATAATGGCTCCTGAGCCAGCAAGAAAGCCACGAGGACGGAGGAGGGAGGCTTACAGCCCAGGTGGATAGTGAGTTCAGCAGATGGCACTCAGCTGAATTCCCTCCTCTGGTTTACACAGCCTCAATATCAGTGACAGATGCAAAACAATCCCTCCAAAGTGAGTGAAGTTTATGTCCACTTTTATGACTCATTTCTTTGGTACCTATTGCTCTGCTATGCAATATGTAGGCATACAGCAAACTCTTTGTAAATAAATGAAAACCCAAGTCAAATCAGATCTCCTTATTCTAGGTTCGGCTATTGGAGCTGTCAGAGTTCAGCTCAAAGCCCCACCCTGCATCAGACAGGAGGCGGACCCCAAACTAAGCCCCTTTCACAACGCTGGGGCAGCTATGCTGTCTTAATTCTGGAAGGTTGCTCATTCGGGGTCTACAGTACTACTATCCCAAATAATTCCAACAAAATAGAGAATGTCCAAAATATAAATACAGATAGTACTGACTGGATGTACCTTTCATCATTAGTTAGTTGTGTGTGTGTGTGTGTGTGTGTGTGTCCACATGAGTATATACACATGTTCTGCTGTATTCAAATGCCTGGGTCAGGAAGCCGAATTGCCCCAATAACCAAATGACTCACTCCCCTAGAGCATGAATGATGATCAGCAGTGTGGGAGCAAGGAGCAAACGTTGCCCATGACAACCAAAAGCCATCAGGGTATTTCCGAGACCCAAAATGGCAAAGCACTATTGAGTCTTATTGAGTTTTTCTTTCAAAAACAATCGACTCTATAATTTTTTTAAACAGTCCAAATATGTAATTTTCATTCACACAATTCCTCTTGTGTTCTATCATACTGAAACTTCAGAAACTTAAAAAAAATCATGAAAATTTTGCTTATTCTTTACTCCCTTGACTCAAATTTCCTTAGCTCAGGAAAATCTTTTCTGTTTCATTCTCTACTTGAATAATAACACATTGCACAGATATTTTTGGATGCTAATCTGTACCTAATGGTTGATGATTCTTCTTCAGTTTCAGAAGAGAAGGTGTAACTGGGAACTTACACAGGGGAAACACTGTCAAAGCTGATGTTCCATTCATTCTCCAGCTCAGTTGTGTCCCCATCTCCAGATGTGCATCCTTTAGATGCTTGATTTTACTTTTTACACTTCTTATACTGTCCTGTACATACAAAATATTGATTTCTGGCCCAGTGCTGGCTCTCATTTATTTCTGATGAAGGCATTCCTACCATCCTGTTTTTCCTTGTGCTTTTCCTCCTGTCAACTGGAATGACTGATTGTATTTTAAATGCCTTCCCTGTTCCTTCTTGCAGTAGAAAGACCTCTCATGCTTAACAATCATCAACACTTCCTTAGCAGTCTTCTTTGAAGGGACTCCAAACCTACAATGACCTTCTCTGAATTTCCGCCAAAATTACAGTCAGTTCACACACTCATCAAGGAGCACTTTGATCAGCAATCCAGCACTGAATTCCTGCTTGCCCCACTGACTGCTTAGCTGCACCTCCGCTGTTCTGAACTGAGCCACCATGTTTGATAAGTGTCTCTTTTATTTTCCACAGAACCCTTCAACGTGTACTGATCAACCTAACCCAGCCAGCGTTTCCACTTCTAAGATCTAAAACTCCTCCTGGTGCAATTCACTCTCTGTGGAGCTTGGCAGGGCATCCCAGACACCCTGACGCAGCAATCTGCTCTCTCATCATGGCTGTGGCCCCACCTCTGGAATATACTGTCATAGCTCCTTACCTGGATTAAAAACTGGAAACCAGCGGTAGAATTCGTTCTTGTAGGGAACGGTGTCAAACTCACTGCACTGCATCTGCCGGAAGGTGGGCGTGTCCGGGCGGCAGGGGTGGACGTTGCACAAACGGTAGCGCTTCCTTTCCCCGGTGCAGTACTTCCCGCCAAACTTGGGTCTACGCAGGACACAGACAAGCTGTTCGTTTCCTTTCCTTAGAGGCTACCATTTTTCCTTCAACATTCCTTGCCATCTGGTCACGCCTGTTCTTCGCCAAACCACGCCCTGCTCTACCCTCAAAACTCACCTTTTACCTAAATTCTTACAATTTTATACATTTTTTGGCTGTTGCTGTTGCCCACGACCATTCAGGCCCAGGTCTATAGTGGCCTAATTTGAAACAGCGTGTGTATCTTTTCTGCTTGTATATCTTCCCGGCCTCTCAAACTCAAAATATTTTTAGTATATGTGCTGCCGAAGCGAGCACTCAAACTCAAAATATACGCCGAGAAGGGATACATCATTTTCCCTCCAAAATCCGCTCCTTCTCTAATTCCTGTTTAGCAAGTTAAAAGTGGTCAGACTGCAGAAGCCTCCATCCTTTGCCTTCCTTTGACCCCATTGTCCATCAGCTGCCCGATCATCAGTCATGTCTTTGCATTTGTTTCCTCCTCCTCATTCCCACAATCACCAAACTAGTCTAATCCTTATCTCTCCTCCTGTCTCCCCTCTGCCCATCTTTGCCCTCATTCAATCTACTCTATGCACATCTGGCTAATTTTTATGATTACCTTAATTACTTTAGTTTCTTGTTTAAAAACCTTTCATGGCACCCAATGACCACAGAACTGAGTCCAGCCTCTTCAGCTTAATATTCAAGGCCCTCATGATCCTGACTTAATTCATCCTAACAACCACTTCCTACCAATGCTTTCAGGACCTAGAATAATGCTATATCTCCATTATGAACTCTTCCTGGATTTCTGCCAGAAATACACTCTTTCTCTTTTTCAATGACACCTGATTGTACCTACTAGATGCACTTCCTATACTTACCACTCCAAAACACAGTTCACTGATGATCCAATCCAAGCTCTATGTCATCTATGGTCTCTAAGTCATACTTTGAGTACAGAAGGCTCTTAATAAACATTCAATCAATAAATAAGTTAATCTTATTTTAGAATAATCCTTCTCAACCTTTTATTTCCTTTGCAATACACACAAGGGCAATAGCAACCTTCCCATCAGGATCAATTATTCACTCAAAAAGGGAGGAGGAAATATAGCAGAACTGCTGTCACAGAAGAGGAGGAACTCTCTGTCCTTTAACAAAGCTCCAAGCAATCTATGTATGTCTTCTTGTCTCCACCTTGCTGCATCTGAAATCAGGAATTGTGTCTACTTTTGCAATGCAGCATAATGGGCTCAAATAGCTTAGGGTTTGAATTCTGCTTTACTTTGTATTATTAGTTAGATGATTTTGAACAAGTTATCTTATTTCTCTGGGCCACAATTTTTTTTTATTTGTGAAATGAGCATAATAGTTCTTATCTCACAAGATGGGAGGACTAAACGAGACAATGCATAAAGATTTAGTAGAGTAGCTAACACAGGGTAAGAGTTCAAAATGACAGCATTGTTGGATTATTATAAATAATAATCAACAAGTATTTATACAATGTACTCAACATCATTTCCAGGGAGGACAGAGTCCAAAAAAAGGTCAACCCATGCCCTGTGTCTCCTAGAAGCTTATAATCTTGAGGAGAAAAAAAAATCATCTATATAATAAATAAGAGAAAATTTAAGAGCAATTATGTATCCCTGACTGTAAGTACAATGTGAGTTTGAAGAAGGAAGAGAATAGTGGAAGTCAGGCTGATTGGAAAGAACTCACGGAACTGTCCTGGAGAATGGCCTTAAAGGATGGATGGAAGTGGCTTCTCAGTGAAAAGGCAGAAAGCATGCAAGTGAGCAGCCTAAATGAAATAATATTCTAAAGGCACGGGAAAGTAGGACATCTTCCCAAAGTGCCCAGCTGACAGAGAGCCAAGATTTAAACCCTTATCTGCTTTAATCCATAGCCTGAGCGCTCATCCACTGTTTTATTGCCGGACCATACAATCTAGGGGGACAGAGACCTCAAACCTTGGCAGTCGGGTTCATTTCTGGTTGCAGTTGTACTTCTCGTGAGGTTCTGCTATACTTTGCTCTCCTTGAATACCTATGAGATTTTTCTATACTTCCCTCCCTCCCTTTCTCAATGTGGCTTGAATAGGCTTCTGTTCCTCGAACATAAAAGAGCTTTGACCAAGACAGTTCACTTTCACTGACTCCATGTAAAAGGTAGTAAGAATTGTCCATGATATCTGAGGTTAGATTGGTTTTCTATTCATGATGATAGAGTGACACTCTATGACTCAGCACCTCTCCAGTTCATTTCCATCCAACAAACATCACTGAAAGCCTTTTACAAGCCCTGCTGGCTTCTCACTAGACACCTGACCAACATCAAGGGTAGAGTCTCAATGTCAGCTGATCATGCACTGGCCTGAATCTATAACCTGAAGCACACAACTGAATCTGAGGCTGTTTTTCCATTGTCATTGTTTTCAACAAACTTAAGCAAACCAGCTACGGAGATCAGACTTGGTCACTCACCTGAGAAGACTCTATGACAAACTGTGGTCTCTAAGATGGGTGTTAGAACCATTTTTCTCATGAGGCCAAGTTAGAGATTCATCCTACAGTTCCTCAACAAAGATGTCCCTTTCTGACCACCACAGATTACTGACCATCCTCCCGAGAGGCTGTAGACAGCGGTGACTGAATACAGAGCACTAACAATAGGTCCCAGAGCAAATCGCCTACATTTCCTGATCTCTAAAATGGAAATCATATTTCTTATCACATGGAAATAACCCATAAAATGAAGATTTTCTGCAAAAATAAGAAATCCCTGGCTTCTAATTTCTGAAGCCACAGAAATCTTGTATTTAAACAAAAGCAACTTTTATCAAAGAGTAAGATTTAAAAACAATTTCATCCAAATTCCTCAAAGGTACACTTATATGTGTGGTAAATGAGAAAAGATATAATAACTACTATAATACCTACCATTTATGGACAATTTAATGTAGTAGGTATTGTGTTAAACTCTTTATATATATTAATTTAATCTTTAGGAGAAATTTATTATGTATTTTTATTAAATATATATAGTGATGTGTATATATACATGCACACATATTACATATAGTAATATATTTATTAATAAAAAGGAGGAGTAATATCTGGAACTGAGATACTGAGGGTATCAGTATCTCATTACAATGAGATTGTAATCACATTTATCATTTGCCTATAAAAAGAAAAAGAGACTCTTACTCTTCAGTGCAGACTAATGAAAATCTAAGTAAAAGAAGCTTAACATATTTTCTACTTACCAGAGGCATCATATGTACACTTCTTAAAAATTTTACTTGGGAACTCATATACCAGGAAATAATGAAGTTAAGAATGTCATATATATTTGGGGGGCACTGGGTGGTTCAGTCAGTTAAGCGTCTGCCTTCAGCTCAGGTCATGATCCTAGGGTTCTGGGATCAAACCCCACATCAGGCTCCCTGCTCAGCGGGGAGTCTGCTTCTCCCTCTCCATCTCCCTCTCCCTCTGCTCATGCTCTCTCTCACTCTCTCTCTCTCTCAAATAAATAAATAAAATCTTTTTTCTAAAATATGAATGTCATATATATTTGGAAAGCAAGGGAATTTAAATTTAATTCATATATAGTAGCATCATACAAATTTAAAATAATGAAAAACTTAAGCATTTTGATTAAAAAATTGAAAGCCGCTTTGTGAAATAACTTCTATGGAACCTTTAATATGGCTAATATGGAAGCTTAAGGTTCATAAAATCCTTATCTAAAACATTCAAAATAATTATCCTCAAAAATGTACTATTTTATTAGTTACTTAAGGGAAGAAAATTATTTTTATAAAATTAAACGTTCATTATGATTGAAAGAAAGCTACAGTCTTAGGAACAAAATTGAGTATTAAGTAATCTCTCACTGACGGAGTGATGTTATCTAGAAGGATTTCACTGCATAGTCTCCTAAGACCTTTCACATAGACTATACTCTTGCAAATTTGCTTATTTCTCCAAATGATGGAATCAGCTTACTTACCCAAGTTCTAGTATGCATCCAGTGCCACACCAAAATGAAACAAAACAGAACCATATTTTTAAGAATCTTCTGGTTCCCTTTAGTCTTTAGGAGCCCACTGAATTTCTCCTAAGAGGCTTGGGCTCACTGGCATCACGTTATCCAAGATTGGTCTCTGGCGCTCGTGGAAGGAAGGGAAATAGTTTTGGCCAGACTTACTCAGGATTGTTGCAGAGCCTCTCTGCACTCTGGGCTCCGGCCCCACAGGTCCTGGAACAGTGGGACCAGGGTGACCAGCGGCCCCAGCCCCCAGGAATGCTCTCTGGTTTCTTCCCCACTGTGATACACTTGCCAGCCATACACCACTAGGGAGGGAAGAGGCAGGAGATGCATACGTCATGAAGGTTCCCATAGCAAGCTGAGCCAAGAACCCCAGAAGTCTAAACCCAATTCTCCCGGAGCAAACAGCCTTCCTATGGTCACACAGCATATGGAGAACAAAGAAGGGCTTACAAAAAAATGTCCCCCAAGAGTCTTGGGTTTTAGAATCAGACAATGTCAGGGACCGAAGGGATCTTTATGCTGCCTTGTTGCAGTCAGCCAATTCGGTGAGGTTGGCAGAAGGCATGCCAGAAGGCAAATCCACACACCGCTTCCTTCACTGAGAAAGTCTTCCTGTGACGTGCACGGCGGCTCAGTCTGCTTAGTAACACAGTTGTTTTGTAATGTAATTGATTTACTTTTTGCTGCAAGCTCCTTATCTTGCTGCAGACCATAAACAAACATTTTGCAGACTGACATTGAGATAACATTTCTCTGTAGCCTCTGTGGGTATCTCATGTCGGCAGCAGATACCTCATCCTCTTGCAGAAAGTCCACTCATTGCCAAAAAACACTAGTTGAAGTTCTTTCTAATATCGAGAACAATTTTTGCTTCCCTGTTAACTCTATCTGTTGTTTGCAGTTCTAGCTGTGGCTCAGAAAAAATTCCTCTCTCTTCAAGGCCATCCTCCCACAACTGTCAGTTTAAGAAAGCGAACATACAAAAAAGAAAGAAAAGACAATGCAACTTGGTTGTTTGAGGATTTGGGCATGTTTTCTCTGCTGGCCTCCTTTTCCTCATTATTTCTGGTCACTGTGTATTGTGACCAAGTTCTATAATCTTGGTGATGGATCATGCCACTCTTAAGCTGCATAAAAATACACATTAAATGTCTGCATCTTAGGCTCACAACAAGCTCAACTGGTCTTGCTGAGCAGCACACATGACCCTGCTCTCAAGCAGTCTGCAGGATTTCTATCATCTGAATTCTTGGGTGTCTGGCTTTCCTCCTCAGTTAAATGGGCAGAATTTCAAGAAATGTAGTCTGATCAGATGATGAGAATGAAGATAACAAGTGGCTCAAATGCAGCATCTTTGGAAGGCAGAAGCCACTGGCTTGCCTTTTCAGTTTTTAACATGGAGGGGGGAAGAAGTCAAAATGAAGGGTGATAATAAGCTCAGCAGATGTTATTGGCCATAAAATCTGCAGACGTTCATCAAGAAAAGATGGGACAGATGTTTTGCAAGTGAAGTGTGGGACTGGGCCTCAGCCCTCTCTCCTTCACGGTTTCCGATGAAAGCTCAAAAGGCATCATGGAAGTAGAATCCTTCTCCCTGGCTAGTCTGATTGTGTGACCTCCATTCACCCAGACAGCTGCTCTCCAGGGCCCTCTCCCTGTTCCTCCCAAGAACCCTGGGCCCACCCCACTCCCACCTTCCTTCCTCAGCCCAACACGTCACCTTCTTCTCACCACATCGGGTCCCATCTGCAGCGGCATCCAGCTTAGAGCGACAAAAGCCTTTCACTGAGCACCACAGGGTCTGACAGACATTCTGGAAAACAAGTATGAAACTGTACTCTTTGGGATTTTCAACACTTGCACAAAAGCATTTCTACAGGGATGGTGAAATATACACTCGGTCACCCACAGACTCACAATGATGCTGCTGTTGGCAGTGAGCAAGAGTGAGAAGAAGGGCTCATTCAAGAACTCTTGATTCAAACTTAATTTGGGCTTTGCCATCATTCATACACAGTGGTATGGTCTACTAAGCAATAAGAAAATAGGAGATAAAACGCATTTCCTAGGAATGGAGACTAATTTCTGTATGGGTGACACAGCATCAGTGACCTCAGGCAGGGTAACTGGTGACAGCAACCATCAAGGGCCAAAGCAAACTATGCACAAAGGACTCTGATTACAAACAGTTGGGCGGTTATAACTTGAGCCTGCTCACTGAAGGAAACGGAAACTATTCGACTTAGACAGCCTAAGCTTATTTACTTATGACTCAGGTAGCCAGCTTGTTTTATCTGCCAGGGAGTGAAACGGGTCTTCCCTATTGTTTCTCCTCCTACAGTAGGAACAAGGGAAAGTTGACAAGATTCTTACATATCATCAGAAATGGCTCCACTGCTCCTATCCACCTTTTAGTCTTTCTTCTATCCACCCATCATCCATCATTCCATCTATTTAACTATGTTCTAGATTCAGTGGTTTTTAAAATAAGATTTCATATCTTTACACAATTTTAGAGAATTCTCAATCTTGATCTAAGTTTTGCCTCTCCCTGATTACCGCTGTTCTCTCCTGGAACTCTTAACTGCTGCTCATGAGCTTTCCCATTCTGTCCTTCACATCTCAACTTCACTTTTATATTTTTGAACTGTCCATTTTCTTGTATATAGAAGTTGAAAAAGTCTGGTTTTCCATCATGCAACTCTGGGAAATACTCAAGTGAGATGGGAGGTAATTTTCTCAACTCTAAATTCCAGCTGATTGATTTTCTCTTCAACTGTGTCAAGTCTGCTGTCTAATCCAAACACTGAATTTATTATTTTTATTTATTTATTTATTTATTTTAAAGATTTTATTTGTTTATTTGAGAGAGAATGAGATAGAGAGAGAGCATGAGAGGGGGGAGGGTCAGAGGGAGAAGCAGACTCCCTGCCGAGCAGGGAGCCCGATGCGGGACTTGATCCCGGAACTCCAGGATCATGACCTGAGCCGAAGGCAGTCACTTAACCAACTGAGCCACCCAGGCATCCCCAAACACTGAATTTAAAATCAGTGACCATATTTTTCATTTCTAGAGGCTGTAACTGTTTTTAATATATACCTTACAAATATCTTCTAGTGTATTTTTCCTTTTCTCAAATGTAACTCTTCTTTTATGCATTCATTTTATTATCCTTACCTAAAATATTCACTTATCCTAAGTCATTGATGGTTTATCTCTCTTCACTTAGCTGTAGATTGTTTTAAATTTTGAATTAGAAGACGAATGATAAATTCATCTAATCAGAAGCTTTATCTATTGGAGATTTTTCTGCATCTTAGCTGAGCATTGGTTTCTCCAAGGCAGGTTTTTAATCTTTGTTTCTACCAGGTGTCCCATGGTTTTACCAGGTCAGAAATATGTTTATCTTAAATTTTTTTGGCATAAGGGTTCTCTGTTTCAGGATTCTTTTCCTTTAGTGCCTACAGTTCTCAGTTTACGCCACTTCAAAGAATGAAGAAGTAGATCAGATGAAGAGTGGTGGACAGCAGAACAAAGTTTATTGGGGATAGTACAAAGCTCCCGAAGAGGGAGGGGAGCAGAGAGGGTTGGCATTTTGGCGTTTAAATCTAGGGGTTTTTATGAGATTGTTGGCAGGCTGTCTTCATCTGATTAACCTTCCTTGTGCCTGTCACCCAATCAGGTTTTTGTCTACATGCTCATCTACTTCTCAGGCAGTTGTTTGCGTGGGAAAGGGTAGAGGTCTCCTTTCAGGGTGGTGGACAATAACAACATGGGGTCTTTTTCCTTTTAATGGTAGTTTCCCCTGGGGGAGAGGGGTGGGCCTTGCCCGTCTGCCTTTCTTCCGACTATCCTCCATTACAACCACACGAGAGTATAAATTTGAACTCAAAATCAGTGAGGCTGGCCTGTGGTCAAGTATTTGCTAGTGAGAAAGTTATCTACCAGCATCCCTCCCCCTCAAAACCCAAGCTGAGATAAAAGATGCTTCTCTGCCATCTTTACCTTTGTTGCCAATGAGTTCTTCTAGCTCCCCTCTCCTCAAGTCCCCCAGCTTTGTGTAAGAGTCTCAATTCCAACTCCCTGCCTTGCTCCAGGGGTGCATGTCATCATTTGTTGCCACTGGATTTAAAATTAAGGCTCTCTGGTTTTCTCCCTGTCAGCCTCAACGTGCTTATCACTCCCTTCTTTAGTTTTTTTCCCCCCCGAGGATTTTTTTTAAACTTTCTTATAATTTCATTATGCATTTATAAAGAATGATGTGCTAGGTAAAGGGTACACAAACACTGTACTGTTTTTCCAACTTTTTTGAGTTGTAAACTGTTTCAAGATAAAAAAAAGGGCTTTAACAAAGAAGGTTAATATTGTATTCTCTGGTATTTTAGTTTTTTTTTTCTTTACTGAAAAGAATTAGGTTATCTTGGCTGCAATATGCAGGAATCTGAAGTCTTCATTCATCTCAAGTCTTCGCTCTACTTATCTATGTGCCAGGCCCTGCTGAATGTCAGGAATGAAAGGTTCCCTCAGAGTGAGGTGAGGGCACAGATAAATAGAAAGCAACTATAATATCATCTAATAAAGTCTTTGTCCAAGAAAACACAGAATAGAATGCAAAATGATGTTTAAGCTGAGCTCCAAATGATGAATAGGAGGGATGGTGCAGAGGAACCAGAGCATACAGAGCTCAGGAGGTGGTGGAAAACCCACAGCACTTTTAGGGATTGAGGCTGTTCAGTACATGGATAAACACAGAGCCATGAAACAGTAATTGACCAGAGGTAATCAGGGTGATCTGTGTCCAGTAAACCACAGGATACCCTGGAAAATCCTTACCTTTGTAAAACATCTAAAATTGTGGGTAGAAATATTTTAAATGCATTCCTGAGTTGGCAAGAAGGTAAGAGAAATCCTCAGAGGCTAAAAATGTAGCAAAAATGTTGGAGATCTAGAAATACAAACCTGGTCACTTAGACTTTAGTTTTAATGGTCACCTGAGTACTGGAGACAATGACCTGGGCCTGAGTAGCATGGAAAGTTGGACTGGAGACCTCATAAAGACTGTAACCCCAAAGGACTAGCCCTGTGTGAAATGGTGAACTAAGAGAAACCTGGGGACACAGCTGGGAAACGTGTCTGTTTTGATTTTAACTCTAGAAGGCATGGTAAATGTTACCCCTGAGAGTTTGTACCCATGTTGGCCCTCACACAACTCTTGTAGTCAAACAACATCTAACCAATAATTTATTTTAACTGACCCCAAATTCTCTCTGGAAGAATGTGCCAGCCATCTCAGCCTTAAAGAATAACTTGATAGGAAGTTTCACAACCAACAGCTTACAATAAAAACAAAAATCAAGACAAGGAAACCATCTATAATAAGAGAGACCTACAAAAAAATCCCAAATAGGAGAAACAGTTCCACATAGACTTAGGATTCTGGAATTATGCAACATAAATGGCAAAATAAATGTCTCAAATATAAATAAAAAATAAAAGATCATATTGAAAATCTGAATTAGAAACAAGAAACCATAACAGAGAAAAATTAGAAAAATAACCAAATAAACTGTCAAAAGTAAAAAAACAAAACAAAACATAAATAAGATTAAGAAGTCAACAGACAGCTTAAATAGAGGAGTAGTTATACCTAAAGAGAGACCTAGTGAGTCAAAAGATAAATAAATTACACAAAATGCAGAAATATAAAGGGACAAAAAATATGAAGGTGAGGTCCCAAAATATGGAAGATTAGTGATAAAGACCAACATACACGCAGGTAGAACTCTGGGTTACAGAATGGAGGATTAAAACAGTATTTTAAGAGATAAGGCCAGAGAACAAGAGATGGGATGAATCCTGAGGCCCCTTTTAAGCCATTTTAGAGAATGTAAACTTCATCGTAGGGAATGGGGTGACTGAAATATTTTAATCAGAGAGGAACACAATCCAGTTTCCATTTACAAAGGTCACTTTGGCTGCATTTGGGGGATGGATCAGAGTTGAGAGAAGTCGTCAAACTCCAGGAAAGGAGAGCAGTGGGAGAACTATTGCAGTCACCTAGGACTTGGTGGATTTTAGAGATATTCAGGAGGTAGAATTGGCATAACTTGGGAACGAGTTAGGAGGGAGGGGTCAGGAGTTTTTGCACCAACTTGACCTTCTCTATTAAGTCTTGCTCATTGTGTTTAAGCACAGTTACTAACTGCCTCCTCAAAAGGTCTTTCTACATGTCTTTTTGTGTATTGATCTCACTGTATTGAAATTGTTCTGTCTGCCTCCTCCACCAGACCACAAGCTCCTCAAGGTCAGACAACTTATCTTACTAATTTCTGCGGGCTAATCTTTTTCATCTCACTCAGTACACGGCACCAAATCTGGGAGGGGTTCAATGGGTCTTGCCTCGCCCATGTCTATGTGTTAACACTGGCACCTTCACTCTGAAAGGGATGCATTCAGAGAATAGGCCAGACTCAGATCACAAAGGAATGCCACACAAAGGAGTTGGGACTTCATCCTGTGGTCAGTGGACCCTAAGAGCGGAGCTGAGCTGTGGTTAGATCTGTGTTGTTTTGAAATAACCTGAGCAACAATTTGAATGGGGGGAGACTAGGTAATTACAATCGCCAAGGAGAGAAAATGAGAGACTGAATCAAGACAGGACAGTGGGAATGAAGACAACAGGGCAGAGCCACAAACTCTTTGGGATGTTAAATGTCAGGGCTTGACTTAACATTTGGATATTAAGGGGTGCCTGGGTGACTCAGTCAGTTAGGCATCTGACTCTTGATTTCAGCTTGGGCCGTGATCTCAGGGTGGTGAAATTGAGCCCCACATTGGGCTCCATGCTCAGCAGAATCTGCTTATCCCTCTTCCTCTGCTCCCCCCTTCTCTCTCTCAATCTCAAATAATAAATAGACAAAATCTTTTTTAAAAATTTGGATTTTAAAAATTAAGGAGAAGAATGAATTGGGATGAATCTTATTCCTACTTTGGGATCTGGGGGTTCTCTACAACCAGATGAAAATTCAGGAAAGGGAGCAACTTTAGGTTACTATGGAGTCTACAGGTGTGGATCACTGTGATTCCTGAAAATCACTATAAAATGTTCTTCACCACTTGCAAAGGATTGCTGTCTCCACAGAATACCAAGGAGGCACGGTCAAGGAATGTAAATGACTCCAACTTCACACCTTCTGTCTTACAAACACCTTGCCATGAATAGAAGGTTTCTATTTCTGTGTCTGGTTCTTTGGATTACCAAATATTTCCCTGACCCCTCCTTCAGCATGCTAGAGATCTCAAGCCCGGTACACACCCACCAGAGGCACCAAGATACCCAACACTTACTTCTACTTCCTGGCAGAAGGTGGCATTGGGGCCATACTGCAGTTGGCATTGATGGTGGACATCATAGATCACTCCAGGGGCAATGACCTTGGACTTCAAGCCTTTCTTTTGGGGGATGTCATCAAGACAAAACCCCCAGCCCCGGCTGAAAACAAGTTATCAGAAAGGAGAACAGTCGCTTATGATTTCCTTTGTCTTTAGTGTTTTATTCAACAGAAACCTCCATCCCTGTGGTTAACTCTTTGTCCTTCAAAACAACTTTATTTCCACAAGGCACAGAACCCTCCAGGCACAAGATGTAGGAATGGCCTAAAAGGAAATTAAATCATACCCCACACTGTTACTTCAGCTGTGAGCCAGGAAATACAAGCGGGAGAGTAAAATAACATCATCAGAGGGGTTTCAGAGACCACTCGAAACATATCCCAGCTGTTCCTGCCAGTGCCCGGGGACTTACACACTCAGATCATAAAGAGCCTCCCTGAGCGGGAGCAAGCAACGGGACGGCACGTTCACCTGGCGAGGTGGGAAGGCAGGACCCACCTACATCTCAGGGGCAGAGAGCAGAAGTGAAATCCCCCCTTCTGATGCCACCTGATCCGATGATCTGTGAGAGGAATGGAGACTTCTCCAGGCCTCAGGTAAAACTCCAATGGACTTCCAGTTTCAAGAGCGCCAAGTCAGGCCGTCCTGAAACGTGCTGTCACTTACTCCAGGAAGCGGGTGATGTACTCCTTGCTGCACTTGGACCACGTCAGTGGGGTGGGGTTGTACTGGAGCTGGCGGGACATGATGTATGGGTGCCTGCCCACGGGCTCACAGTCATTCTCCTTCCCGTCATGCTGGATGCCGAAGCTGCAGGAGGGCACAAAACACAAGAGTATTAAGGAGGCGGGGGCATGAAACAGGGAGAAAACTACAGTCTCTCCAAGGTGAAAATTACCCACCGAGAGCCACTTTTGTGCAGAATGCACCTGTTTACAAAGTGGGACTCCGAAGCTGGAGAGGGATAACTAATTTTGAACTAAAAAGCACAGGAAACATTTTAAGCCTATGCAACCATGGGAACCATGCGGCTAATTCAAAAACTTCTGTTTGGCTGAGAGCTCCCAGTTCAGCTTTCTAGGAGTCTGGAGGAAGGAGGGCAAATCCTGCCTCAAGCCATCTTCTTCCTCCGGCTTCAGCGACCACAGCACCAAACACCCAAACCTTCCTTCTCCCTTTCATTATCATGTAAGGAAGGGCATGGAAAGGACAGCCTATGAGAGACTTTGTCAAAGGCCACAAGCTTTGAGTGACTGAGTTTCTTTTGAGTATTGTCACAGGAGTCCCCCAGGATCGGACGCATTAGGGACGCCTCCCGGGTCAGTGGTCAGAGCAGGGGTTTCACAGACAGATGATCTGGAGGGTACCAACTCCACCACTTAATGATCTGGGAGCTCCACTCCTGGAAAATGCAGAGATCATCACAATGCTGGGGTCAGATCTGAATGGAAGAGTCTGAAAACCACTTAGCGAGGCCTGGCATATAACAAGGGCTCTGTGAATAATGGAAATCCTTTATTGTTGTTTTGATCCTTGTCTAACTTCTTCTAAAACATCACAGAGCTCGTGAGTGGTAAAATCAGGTCCTCTGCTCGATCAGCGTTCTTACCCACGTCTTGCTCGCCCTGCTCCCTGGCCTCCCCCTGCCAGAGCTGACCAGGTGAAGCAGCCCTGAACGCCCCGACAGAGCTCGCCCACCATGGCAAGGGGTGCTGGGGAAGGAAGCGGACTCAGAAGTGTCCATTTATAAGCTGAGTCCTCAGGATCGCCCCAAGATCGCCTTGCCTGCAGAGGTCCCCACAAGAACTCTCTTCACTGGGATCTGCTGATGGCACACTTGTATCCCAGCCTGTTGGCTCAAATTTCCAAATCTGAACAGAGGATTTAAAGGTTTCTTGTATTTTGCTTAATGCATTATGATGTTATCGACTTACTTCCAGACTCTGATCACATTCCACGTAAGTACAAAATTCACAAAGGAATCAGAGAATTAATCTACAAAACTCTTCTCACTCAGCCGCAACGAATGTGACTCAATGAAAGCTTTTATTCTAAGCAGGCCTTCCCTAGGCTGTTTGATATCCATTCTTACCCAGCTCATGAAGTATTCTACAAGTTCACCTGCTCAATAATTAGTAAAAACCCTAAACTGTAAGCGTGGTTCAAAAATATGCCTGAATAATGGTTTTTCTAGCAGTGGATAGTCTAATGCAAGAACCGTACAGCTGCATCCTACACACTGGGTGGATTCAAACCTACGTTCAAAACATGTCAGTTCCCTTAAAGCTCATTTTGTTCTATCTAAAGTTTTTTTTTTTTAAGATTTATTTATTTATTTGAGTGAGAGAATGTGTGTGTGCACAGGGTGGGGGGCAGAGGGAGAGAGAGAGAGAGAGAATCTCAAGCAGACTCCCCACTGAGCATGGAGCCTGATCTCATGACCCTGAGATCATGACCTGAGCCGAAATAGAGTCAAAAGCTTAACCAACTGAGCCACCCAGGGGCCCCTGTTCTATCTAAAGTTTTTAATTCACTAAAGGATTTCCCCCTCCAGCTTTGTCACCCCTCTGTACCCCCATGTTATGAGAGAAAAGCAGTGCTACTAACAACAAATGTCCCTCTGGGCTGTGTCTACCATGTCTAAATGCATGGGGTGCTCCTGTCCCATGAGCATAGTGGGCCAGTGAAAGCACATGGGGTCCTAGGGCTGGAGGGTTTGTTTCCAGGAAGCTCCTTGCCAGCAGGCGGGATGGAAGCTGAAGCGCAGCTGGCTGTATGGAGCCCTCTACAGTCTCCAACAACTTACTGGGCTGCTGGGGTCATCTGCTTTACCTCGTGTTTGGCTTTCAACTCCTATGAGATGAGTTTGCCCTAGTATAGATGTGAAACAGCAAGTTAATTATCTGGGTTTCAGGGTATCATTTGATGAATATTCCTTGCCTTTTATTATTCATTTTTTTTATTTGAGTATAGGTGACACAGTGTTACATTAGTTTCAGGTGTACAGCTTAGTGATTTGACAAGTTTATACGTTAGGCTTTGTTCATTGTAGGTTTAGCTACCATCCATCCAGTTACATCACTATTACAATATCATTGACCGTATTCCTTATGCTGTACCTTTCATTCCTGTGATTTGTGATTCATGTTATGGTGGAGAGGTAATAGCAGAGGACAAAAACCATGAAAAGTGTGATTGTGTGCTTTTCAAGCTCATTTAGGAAATGCCAATTTCATATATGTAACATGCAAAGGTCTCTAATGAAATCCAGAAGCAGGAGAGAAATACTGGGTGAATATTGCCTTTTAAGTGTTCATCTATATCATGATATTTTCATTACTTAAAAGGAAAGGATGCTAGGTCTCAGATAAGTTTTTAGATTTCCTCCTAGAATTCTACCTTCATTTTTGGTAATGTACCTATGGAGCCTAATAAAAAGGTAGTAAGAGACCTCAGGAATAAATGACAGATATAATCCAGGGTCCTCATAAATGGATTTTCAAAAAGTTTTCTCTCAAAAATGAAATTATTCACATAAGGCCATAGCACAAGGTAATTAATTTTACTTTCTATTTTGCATCACACATAATCAGTAATGGAACAAAACATGTTTCTAAGAAACAACGGGGTATCTATGTTATTAAACTATAATGAGTGTCTTTGGGGATACTGGTTTATCACAGTTTTGTTTTTTCTTGACCTGCCACTGGCCATTTCATTGATCTTCTCAGTTTCTCAGTTTGGTCCAAGATAATTGGAGCTATATAGCTAAAGAAAGAACTAAATACCTCAGAAGTATCTTTTGCCAAAAGCAAAAGTTTCTTAGAAGCTCCTAAAGTCTTCTCTGGTTTGGTTTGTGTTTTACTAAAGCATTTTTTTCCATCATTCAAACTCAAGCTTATGTGTTCTTTCAACTTTCTCTTTAACAGTGACTCTAAACTTTTTTTTTTTGCCAATTAAAAGACAGTGTTTTAATGCAAATCAAAAGTACCATGAGATATCACCTCACTCCTGTCAGAATGGCTAAAATCAAAAAAAAAAAAGAAAGAAAGAAAGAAAAAGAAATAACAAGTGGTGAGAATGTAGGGAAGGGGCGCCTGGGTGGCTCAGTTGGTTAGGCGACTGCCTTTGGCTCAGGTCATGATCCTGGAGTCCCAGGATCGAGTCCCGCATCGGGCTCCCTGCTTGGCAGGGAGTCTGCTTCTCCCTCTGACTCTCCTCCCTCTCATGCTCTCTGTCTCTCATTCTCTCTCTCTCTCAAATAAATAAATAAAATCTTTAAAAAAAAAAAAGAATGTAGGGAAAAAGGAACCCTCATGCACATAAATCAGTACAGCCTCTGTGGAAAACAGCATGGAGGTTCTTCAAAAACTTAAAAAGAGAAATACCATATGATTCAGTAATTCCCCTACTGGGTATTTACCCAAAGGAAATGAAAACACTAATTCAAAAAAGATATATGTCCCCCATATTTACTGCAGCATTATTTACCATAGTCAAGATATGGAAGCAACCTAAGTGTCCATCAATTGAATGGATGAAGAAGACGTGGTGTGTGTGTGTGTGTGTGTGTGTGTGTGTATATATATATATACATTATATATATATATATAATAGCCCATCATATATATATATATGATGGGCTATTATTACTCAGCCATAAAAAGAATGAGATCATGCCATTTGCAACAACATGGATGGACTAGGGGGCATTATGCTAAGTGAAATAAGCCAGACAAATACCATATGATTTCACTCATATGTGGAAACTAAAAAAGCAAATGAGTAAACAGACAAAAAGCAAAATCAGATGTGTAAATACAGAGAACAAACTGGCGGTTGCCAGAGGGGTGGGGGTGGTCAAAATGGGCAAAGGGGAGTGGCAGATACAGGCTTCCAGTTACGGAATGAATAAGCCATGGGAATAAAAGGCACAACACCAGAATATAGTCAATGATAGTGTGATAGGGTTGTGTGGTGACAGACACACTACACTTGTGAGCACAGCATAACTTATAGAGAAGTTGAATCACTATATTGTATATCTGAAACTATATTGTATACCTGGAAAATGTAACATTGTGTGTCACTTATACTCAAAAAAATTTTAGTAGAAAAAATAAATGATGGTATTTTATTAGGTCATCTTTACATGGCCCATATAGTAGTTACAGGTTTACTGTTTAAAAAACTGACAACCTGTTCTCTATAGAGCCTAAACCATCTTACTTTCTCATCAGCAATGTATGAATGATCCAGCTCCTCTGCAACCTTGTCAGCATTTGGTGTCACCACTATTTTTTTAGTTATTCTGATTGGTGTGTAGCAATATCTCATTGTGGTCTTAATCTGCATTTCCCTGATGGCTAATAATGTTGAATATATTTTCAAGTGCTTATTTGCCATTTATATATCCTTTTTGATGATTTGGTGATTTCATCTCAAAATTATTAACTATTAACATCTGCAAAGACCCTATTTCCAAAACAGATTACATTCTGAAGTTCCAAGTAGCCTTGAATGAGTGAAAGGGAACACTGTTCAAGCCACTACATAGGGTTTGCAAATATTTTCTCTTAGGCTGTGGCTTGTCTTTTCATCCTATTAAAAGAGTCAAAATTTTTTTAATTTTGATGAGTCCAATTTTTTAATGTTTCCATTTATGGACTGCACGTTTGATGTCAAGTTTAGAAACTCTTTGCCTAACCCTAGATACTGAAAATTTTCTCCTATTTATGTCCTAAAAGTTTTTAGTTTTACATTTTACATTTAAGTTTGTGTTCTACTTCAAGATAATTTTTGCATATGATGTGAGACTTAAGTAGAGGTTCTTTTTATATTTTTCAAATTTTTGCCTATGAATGTCCAATTGCTTCAGGACCCTTTCTTGAACAGGCTACCTTTCCTCCACTGAATTGTTTTTATACCTTTGCCAAGAAATCAATTGAATATATTTGTTTTGCACTATTTTTGCATTCTCTGGTTGATTCCATTGATCTTTGTGTCTCTCCGTCCACCCAAACCACACAATCTTGGTTACTGAAGCTGTATAATAAATTTTGAAGTTTTGTAGACTGATTCTTCCCATTTTATTACTCTTTTTCAAATTGTTTTGAAAACTTATTCTAATTCCTTTGCCTTCCCCTATACATTTTAGAATAACTTTTCTATATTTCAAAAACAATCTTGCTGGAATTTTGGTAGAAATATCATTAAACCTATATATTTATTTCAGGAGAATTCATCTTGACCATGTTAAGTCTTCCAGTTCACGAGGATAGTATGTTTCTCCATTTATTTAGATCTCTGATTCTTTCCTCAGTGTTTTGTAGTTTTCAGCATACAAGTCCTGTACATGTTTTGTTAGATTTAAAAGTATATAATAATTATATGTAAAAATTTCATACTTTTGAGTGATTGTGAAAGGTACTACATTTTTGGGTGCCTGGGTGGCTCAGTCGTTAAGCGTCTGCCTTCAGCTCAGGTCATGATCCCAGGGTCCTGGGATCGAGTCCTACATCGGGCCCCCTGCTCGGCAGGAAGCCTGCTTCTCCCTTCCCACTCCCCCTGCTTGTGTTCCTGTTCTTGCTATCTCTCTGTCAAATAAATAAATAAAATCTTTAAAAAAAAAAAAAGGTACTACATTTTTAATTTCAGTGTCCACCTGTTCATTGACAGTACATAAAAATGTGATTGATTTTTGTATGATTATATTGTACCCTGTGAGCTTATTTGTTCTAGTTTGTGTGTTTGCATACAATCTTTGGGATTTTCTATAGATACAATTATATTATCTGCAAATAAGGCTAGTTTTACATCTTCCCCTCTAATCTATGTCTTTTTTTTTCTTGTCTTATTGCACAGGCTAAAACTGCACTCTTTTTTTCTTTATGTTCTTTAGACTTGATCATTTACATTGTCCTATCTTCAAGTTCATTGGTTCTTATTCTGTCTGCTCAAACCTGCCAATGATTCCCTCTAGTTAATTTTTTTATTACAGTGATTGTACTTTTTAGCTTCAAAATTTCATCCTGGTTTCTTTTTAGATTTTCTATCTCTTTATTGATATTCTCATTTTGTTCATACAACATTTTCTTGATTTTCTCCACATCTTCTTTAGTTCTTTGAGCATCTTTAAGGCAGTTGTTTTAAAATCTTTGTGTAATAAATCTGCCATCAGAAACAATTTGTTGATTTATTTTTTCCTTTGAATGGGCCATACTTTCCTGGTTCTTTGTATGTTTTATGATTTTTGTGTGTGTGGAAAAATGGACATTTGAGTCTATTAATGTGGTAACTCTGGAAATAAGGTTCTTCCTCTTCCCTAGAGTTTGCTGTTTTTATTGTTATATCATCATCATCATCATCATCATCATCATTATAGGCTGTGTTTGTGCCAAGGATCAACCTCAGGTAAAAACTTAAGGTCTTCTCAGGTCTCTCTTACCTGGGCCTATGTGGTTACTTTCTAATCTTCCCCATATATGCAATTATTTTTAGAAAGTCCTATTCTTTATTGTCTGGCTCCCCAAAGGGGAAAAGGATAAAAATGAAGAGAGGGGGGAAAAGGGTGCTCTGGAAATCACTCCAGTTAAAGGGGGTTGGGGGCTTGTAACAACATGGAGAGGTGCAACAATGAAGGCTATCCACAACTTTGTCTTTACCTGTATGATTAGAAGTAGTCATCAGCAATCAGAGCACAGATCCTTGACATTTAGGGGACAAATATCAAAATATCAAATCAATTCAGGTAGTGACCCACTTCTACTCTGTTACATAATCTACCACTTCTGATGACCAGTAAACATCTACAACTCTTTGTTTTCAAGAATTCAGGGAAATTGTGCTCAAGTAATGTTACCAAGAGGTTGTCACCTTTACTGGAGAATTTCTAAACTCTGAAAGGTGGATCATACTTGCCCTTGGCTTTATGGCCTTGGCTTTGTGGCCTTCCTCACAAAGATGGTAGGTCCATGTCCAGATAATCATGCCAATGATTCTGTCAAAAATTGGAGCAACTCTGATTTTGTAGAACCTGCTTAGCATATTTCTGAATCCTTTTATAAAGCCAGATTAAGTTGAAGATATAAGGAATCCATTCTTTGAATGCTGGTAATGAGCATTTGAGAGCATCTTTTATCAAGTCTTCTCAATTTTTCTTTACCTTGAGTATACCACTGCTGGGAAGATCTTGAGCAGTTCTTTCTCAGTTTGACTTAGTTATATTTATTTGCACTGCTTAGCCAGCAGGTGCTACTGACACCAAAGACTTGACTGGAGGCTGCAGGGGACATATCCCTCCACATATTAGGATGGAGGATGCCTATACGTTTGCACATGAGAATAGCTTTCATTTTACCAAGTTTTATTATCAGTGTGCCAACAACTACAGCCTAGTCTTTTCAATACCTAGCCTTCTGTCTCCCATCATTAATTACCTGTACAAGCAAGTCACTTAACCTCTTTGTCTTTACATTTCTGATGACTAAGGATACTAAAACATATCACATTTATCTCCCAGGGCTTTTTGGTAAGAATCAAAAAAATGACAATACCTAAGAAATTGCCTAGTTCAACCTACTCACTTCACAGATGAGGCAGCAGGTGAGGAGAGGTGAAGGAAATCATCTAAGGTGATAATACTGGCTGATGGAAAAGCCAGAGTAAGCACTCACTTTTCCCAACTCCCAAGCCAATACTCTAGTTTTGTCATGCAGGTGAAAGTATTTTGAAAACTTCCAGTATTACATGAGAAAAATGATGCCCAGACCAGGGAGGCCCTGCCTGGAATATCCAATCTCCAGGGCTCTTTCCAATCCCAGCTCTTTTCAACCTGTACACTCAAAGTATGTCATGGGGTTTTGCTTCCTTCCTTTATGGGAGGAGATCCAGCCTGGTGGCTACATGAAAGGGAAGGGGTATATCTGAGTCATTCACATGGCTCCGTACTCTGAGCTTCTAAATAGTATGATCTCTTATTTGTTGTTAGTAAATATACCAACAAATTAAGTTATAAATAAGCTAATACCTTTCCTCTGATACCTGGAAAATCCAGAATCCTCATTATCTCTTCAGTCAAAACATTCTGCAACCTGCCTTCCATGAATTCATCTAATCAAATTCACACATTATTGAGACAAATGCACCTCCTGTTAACTGACATTTGCTTGATGCTCTTTTCCGATGTATGGCAGTTTTAAATTTCTGCTTTATTCAATGAGTTCCTTTAATCCATATAAGTAAAATGGGGCTAACAATAGTATCTGTTTCATAAGGTTGTTGAGAGGATTCAATGACACAACATAAAGTGGATGACATAGCGTAAGGGTGCAAAAATGTTAATGTTTGTGACTTTTTAGTGATATTAATATTATTACTATTTCATAAGAACTGAACAGGGATTGTTATTTCTGAATTAATCAAGTGAGTTAAAGCTTATGTCCTTGTCTGTGCTCAACCTATTCTAATTCAGCAAACTGTAGTAGCCTCTTTGATTCTGTGATGTAGACAGGCACAAGTGGCCAGGGAATAAAAGACACTGAAATCTCTGAAGTACATGATGATCCCCACTTTACAGGTGATTCCTCACACAGAGGTTTAGGAGGGTGAGTCTCAAGGCACAATGCAACCCGACTCCTGATGCCCCGTTTAAGGTGCTTTCCCTTCTCTCTACCAACGTGGTGCATAAACATGGCAAGGAGATCCCCATTTCCTTGGCCCTTTACCTGTGTCCGAGCTCATGGGCAATTGTGAAAGCCAGAGGGAGTCCAGAGTCTTCATTGATGTTACAACTCCGGTGAGGTTGGCACATTCCCGACAGGTGAGACAGACCCAAAGTCTCACAGGGGCGATTGACACCAGCACAGATGTCTTTTCTGAAAGCAGAGAACAGAGATGCGTAGGCTCCCAAAGAAACATCTGAAAAAAGCCCTTCTGGAAAAAATATGCATATTAATTCACATTCGATGTGGTCCGGGAAGCATGATTTAAATTGTTTTTAAAAGTCCATATGAATATAGCGGGGCAATTCTGAATTCATTAGATTATTCTGATTTCACTTCTTAATTACTGAATCTCACTAACACCTAAAAAATGTGCGAAAATATGACAAATGTTTTATTTTGAGTTGCTTCTGCCCTTAATCCCAGGAAGCCAAATTACATCGTTTGGACCAAAAGACAAGGATTTGATGGAAAATTGAAGATTATTTGAACTTTTATATAGAGAAAGGACAACCAGCAGTGGCTGAAGGTGTTCAAATATGAAACCCCTTTTTGGTCTTTCTGAGGTCTGTGCTCAAAATTCATCTGAGAACTTTTGCTTATTCATGAAAAAGGCAATTGGTCTCATCAATCCATCCAGAGCTCAAATCAGTTGTCTCTGCAGCCCCACTACTCTAACAACATTGCATATGGGAGGGAAATGCACATGCAGATAAAGACTCCCAGGATCTCAAAAAATACTGGATATAGTCCTTAAATGTAAAATGAGCTCCCATATGTTTGTGGGGATTATTTCAGTCATTGATAAGAGTTAACTAGTCCTTTGGTTTTCCTCAAGAAGAGCTCTTTGCCGAGAGTAAGTAGCACAAATGCCAACAAGGCTCTGAGCTTCAGTTAGTTACAGACCTTCAACTCACCGGGCAACAAATGGTCTGTTCTTTGTTTCCACTGGGCCATGGAAAAGATCGAGCCTCTGAAAACTCCTGTGAGTCCTCAGTTGTCCAGGAGACAATGGCTGGGACAGTGGGACAGGGCAGAGGGGCAGCCCTCATCTCAGGGCATGCCAACTGATCTGGTCTCCACGTTAAGAGCAATGGTTGTTGGGCGGTTTGGTGTTGGAGAGCTGGACTGAATCATGCAGCCCAATCATTCTAAATAATTGCTGGGTCTGTGGGAGGACCAAGCAAACACTGTTCTGCCCCTACTGCAACATGTACTTGTCACTATTTCATTTTTTTTTTTTTTTAAGTCTAGGCCTGCATGGAGCTGCTGGGAAAAGATGATTGGTGTTTCCTGCTAACTCACTGGCTTTCTTATTGTGATGGAACAGGAGTCAGGTCCATTAACTAATTGTTTGCTGAGTACCTACTATGTATCCAGCGCTAAAGAGGACAAAAGGGGGTAATAAAAGAAATGTTTAGGGATGTGAGTCTTCCAGGGCAGGAGCTCGTGCTCCCCAAAGCAAATTAGCTCTACCTATACCATGCGCTGGGAGTAGTATAAGAGAAAATATGCCCTGGTATGCAGCTACAAGTCCCACTTCATGAGGTACATTCAAGCCAAATACACTTTCTCCTCAATGCAACCCTGCAGAAAGCCTGTGGAAGTGGATCTCATCCCAGTCCTCCAGAGGCAAGTCTTACACCTCCCTCCCTGGTCCGGCTGGTTTCTTCGGAACAGAGGTTCCCAGAAGGGGTTGATTTGGCCCCTCACCCACTCTGAGAGGACATGTGGCAGTGTCTGGAGACTGTTTTGCAGGAGGGTGCTACTGGCATCTTATGGACAGAGGTCTCCACGCATGGGACAGCCCTTCACAACAAAGAATTAACCAACCCAAAACGTCAGTGATGCCAATGGTGAGAAATCCTGTTTTCGAATTTGAATTACTCTCCACTGTTTAGGAGCTGGTGAGGTTCATCATACATTGAAACCAGGCCCTTGTTCCAAAGAAGAAAAATTATCATAAGAGAAAGATTATCATAATAAGAGAGCAGATCCTTCATATCCTTATGGGTAAGAGTTAAGAGTATAACTATTAGGGTCCAACTGCCTGGATTTAAGTCTCAGTTGTACCTGTTAACAGCAATGAGATTTGGGGCAAGTGACCTAACCAAACCTCAGTTTCACCCTTTGCAAAATGGGAATGGCTAATGGCAGTCAACGACCAGGGTTGCTCTGGAGGTTAAATGGAATGATGCTTGTTCTAATAGATGTAGCACAGTGCTACATCTAACACTCCCCAAATGTCAGCTCTCATCAACTCACTCATTTCTTCATGTGAGAAGGAGAGAAGAAATGATTTGTGCTTTCAGGGCAAGAAGAGAGGTGGAGCTGACACAGCTTCCAATGGCGGCCCGGAAGCCAGGGTTCTTCCTCAACTGAGCTCTTTTCCTGGCTTCTTGCCCAGGTCCTCAGTGTTTCCTGCCCACTTGCTGGCTCCCCAGAGCCCCTGTGCTTACATTCCCTACTCACATTAACCTACCTCCCAGGGGAACTACTGATGTCACAGGTCCCAATATGAGCCTAATGTAATAGGTTTATGTCACAGACTTCCTTTGGAAATTGTTGGCATTCAACCAACATTTTGACACTATCACTCAAAAGAATGATTCTGATGGTTGGAGTGAAAGCTGGTTATCATCCTTTGCAGGCCATCACATGCACTGGGATACCAAAGGGACAGATGACAGGCCAAAATGTTCAGGGGCAGTCTGTCCCCCCAGGGAGAACATACACACAGGACCTTCCAGCGCCTGAGGTTCTCGGTGGCTGAAAAGTCAAGCCAAGTGGCCTCTTCGAGGACACATCCCTGGATTTCTTGATGTCTCTGAATCTGCGAACTTGATGTCTCTGAATCTGAGAACTTACCTCCCCCATGAATGAAAGACCTTCATTTGTCTGGATTAAAATAGTGTTTGGTACACAGCAGGTATTCAACAAACATTTATTGAATCAATGAGCACACATAGCCTCCCAGAGCCTGGGTTGATCAGAAAAGTTCATTAGCCTTTCACAGCTATGAGTCCTAGAAGGTTGATGGTTTTTATTGTTCTGTAATCAGAACAAAATATTGTCTTCATGGGGGTAAAGGGAGACAAGTGTAAGAGAACAGCTCTGCCTATTCGGGGTGGGCATCTGCTGCCTATAGTCTGTCTTCAACATCAGTCAGGGATGGGTTACCAGGAAGACTGATTTCTGTAGAGATAGTTGCATGTTTCTAAACTAGAGGAAATTTTTCAAAAATAAAAGAAAGGATCGGAAACCTCATGCTTAAGAGTTACAGTAGTCTTTAATGAGGATCTGCAAACAATCTTCCTGATTGTTTATGGAGCTTCACGAAAAGCCAATTTTATTTTTATTTTTTAAATTTTTTAAATTTTTTTTTAAAGATTTTATTTATTTATTTGTGAGAGAGAGAATGAGAGAGAGCACATGAGAGGGGGGAGGGTCAGAGGGAGAAGCAGACTCCCTGCCGAGCTGGGAGCCCGATGCGGGACTCGATCCAGGGACTCCGGGATCATGACCTGAGCCGAAGGCAGTCGCTTAACCAACTGAGCCACCCAGGTGCCCAAAAGCCAATTTTAAAGATGAAATCATCGTTGGGATAGGAAAAAAGCCTGCAATTTGCCCGCAGATGCAGTTCATTAACATGGAGAGTTTTGCTACACACATTTACTAACTGCCCCCTCACTGGTATGGGCATTGGGAGTCATCTGGATCATAGAAACTACCTTTAAAAATGACTGAAAGCAGCAAAGAGTAGGCAATAATGCATAAGTTTGAATACGGGATAACTCTTTCACCCACCAGCCCCCCCATTTGCAGCCCCTGGCTTCCACATAGTCCCCGGGGTACCTGGTGAGGAGGACAGCCACATCATGATGGGCTGGGTTGAGGTCACTCTTCAGATTGATGCTTTTCTGCCACTTACAGAAGCTGGACAGTGTCTTCTCCGCATGGTGGACGATTTTTAATCCTTGCTAGAGAAAGAAGAGGAAGAGCAGGGCACAGCTGAGCTTCCCATGCTCAGGTCTCATTACACAAGTCCTCAGAAGCAGCCGAGTGTGATGAGCTCTTGGTGGGTGCCTCAGACATCTATTTGGCAAGAGTTTGTCAGAAGCTAACTTACTCCCTGTTCTCAACACCATTACCCTCATGACTTTTATTAAAAGAACCTGAAGTCTGATTGCTGTTGCTAGGACTTCTAGTACTATGTTTTAAAAATACTTTTAAAATATCTTGAAAATAATAACCAGTCTGAATTAAGGCTCAAGGGTTGCAATAGAAAATCTTACAATGCACTTCTCAGTATGATTCTATGTGGGTTACTTACTACTTAATTTTATGTGAAATCCCATACTTTTGAATCAAAGGGAAGCTTTCAGTGGGTGACAGTGGGTAAGAAGAGCCCACACACTCACATACTCACATACCCATACACTTCACACTCTCACACACCCACACAAAGGGTCATTTAAGCTCCCTCTCTAAGCAGCCATAAATATACAAACTTATTAGAGTTAAGGTGACCACACAGGCAGAAGCAGAGGGACCCTATTTTAGAATGTTCTCCTTTGACTCACAAAGTCCCTGGTCAGGGCACACAGCTCAAGATGGGATGCCACCGGATCAGAAAAGCTCTGTTTTTGCTTCAATATTGGCTGGACTCACCATTTTGTAGGACTTACATACCAATCCATGAATGTTTGTTTAAAGAAAAGTGAATGTTTACAAACTTCCACTCTCCAGGACCTGAGCCAAATTCAGTGTCAGCAAGGACACCTCTTCATCATCCTGGGGCAAGCAGAGTCATTTTCCAGATGTTGCAGCAGGAACTCTGCCTCCAAGTTTCCCATCATTACTAAGAGCCCATTTCCCTGAAGGGCCTTGGGTTTTATGCATCTAGTCTTGTCACTTCAACAGTGAGGAAATCCAGGCCAGAGAGGGGCACTACCTTAGCCAAGTCACACATCAGGTGTCGGCAAAGCTGTGCTTTGAGTCTAGGTTTTCAGGACCAGTCTGGGATTAGTGGTTTCCAAACTGTTGAGGACTTCTCTCAACTCACTGCTTGAATAACTGGAATGATTTAGCAGTTAGCCAATGGATGATTATTGCTTATTTCTACTCCCCTAGGTCACACTCTCACCCTGGGAAGGAGACAAACACAGGAAGAAACCCTCCACTTCTGAGACACCCAGCTCTTCATCCCCCTCCTGCTCTCTGACTGCTTCTCAGGCTCCTTTACAGGCTCTTCTTCTTCTGCCCTTTCTTTTCGCTCATTGCTTAGTTCACTCTCAATCACGGTCAGATTTGGGGAAGTCATCTATATGCTGCTGACTCTCAAATCTATAACTCATTCCAAATCTCTCCTAGAGTGCAACTCGTGCACTCAAATCTCTTGATAGGCACCTTCTAAATGGTACCACAAGAGCCCCCAAGTCAGCATCCCCAAAGTCCCCCCCCCCGCCCAGTATTAACCTGCTGTTCTTCCTGCTTCCTCTTAGTTGAAGTACCATCAGCTTAGCGGTCTAATCTAGAAACACCAGGGTCCTCCTGTTGGTCTTCTCTCCCTCCACATCCTGCATCCCCATCTGCCCTCGTGTGCTGCTAAGTCTCCCTCCCCTCCACTTTTACTCCCAAGCTGAAACTCTCATCATTTCATGCCTGAGTTTATGCTTGCATCACCTCATAACTGTTCTCCTTTCTTCCTTGTTCTTAAATCCATCCTCCATGCTGTTGCCAGGCTGATCTGGTCAAGACCAAAGTCTGCCCATATAATGGCCCAGGGCTCAAAACCCTTCAAAGTCTGACCTCCAGGAAGCTCTCCCTTCATCTGCAACCTCATCGTGTATGCTCCGGCAACATTCAAAAGGCTGGTATTACCTTCCCTCCACACCCTACACGCCATATACCAGGCTCTTTTCACCTTTCTTTTTTTTTGTAATATTTTCTTTATTTCAGAGAAAGAGAGACAGTGGGGAGAGGGGCAGAAGGGGAGGGAGAGAGAAAGGGAGAGAATCTCAAGCAGACTCCCTGCTGCGCACAGAGTCCTATGCGGGGCTCCATCTCATGACCCTGAGATCGTGACTTGAGCCGAAACCAAGAGTCAGACGCTTAACCGACTGAGCCACCCAGACGCCCCTTCACCTTGCTTTCTTCAAGCTGCTCCTTTATCTAGAATGTCTTTCTTCCCACTTTTACCCCTTCAACCTATTCAGCACCCATCCTTTAAGACTCAATCTGAGCATTTCCAGGAAGCCTTCCCCAACCTCATTCTGGATTAGGTTCCTGCCAGTTTATCTTGTGCCTACCTGGCTCACAGCACTTGCTGCCCTGGGTTAAAATGATCAAACTGTGTGCCTGTTTCCTCCTTAGCTCTTTCAGATCAAAGACTGAGGTTTATTCCCCTACTCATCTCAGGCACTGCCCAGAGCCTGTCGCACAGCAGGTATACACCCCACATTGAGGCTGCACCCCACCCCCCCACAAGGAATGGAGAAAAGGTGAAGAATACATCCACTGTGCTGGACAAAAGAGCTGCTCCCACAAGGACAAGGTTTTGTGGTGAGTCAGTGAAGAGGCAAGATCTCCTGCAGATTAGAGAAGCGGAAGGTAAGGGGTCAGAAGCATAAGAACAGAGCAACAAGCATCTGTAATAATAATTCTGGTGCCTGTAGGAGGAACTGCTTGGGAGGCAGGTCCACATGGATCACTCGTGTTTCTTCACATCATCTGAGCAAAGGCACCGACAGCTTTTGTCTCTTTCCAAGGATATGCAGGAACAGACTTGGAGTACAGAGTCAGTGTTCCCCTCCAGAAAAGAAGACAGATTTCTTTGCTGTCCAGGGGAAAAAAAAAAAAAAAGGATAATGGCTCCCTCCAGGGCATAAGCTGACAGATCTGCTCACAAGCACCTCGGAAGGGCTGATGTTTCCTTGTGTTGGGATTCCTCAGCTGAGATCAAGCCCACAATGTGCCCAGCATCCACCCGGGCCGTCCCCGTCACCCCGGCAAGGGGACAAGAGGGGTAGCTGCAGACATGAAGCTCAAGCCGTGTGTTGTGCTGTGAGGAAGAAAGTCCTCCTTCCCTCCCCGGAAAGCTCATGTCTTCTGCCAGCATCGAGTCCAGGGACGCATGGCTGGAGAGCAAGTGAGCTCGCAGGGAGAACAAAATCTGAGACCCTTCATAGCTCATGACGGCAATGAGGACGAGAAGGGAGAACAGAGACCCAGCAGTCAGGAGAGCGAGGTCGAGGCTGAACCGTCTACACACACGGGCCAGGTGTGCAAGGTTGTCGAGGTAAGCCAGCAGCAGGACGATGGCAGAGGGAGTGAAGGAGAGGAAAAGGAGCTGAGAAGTAGATGGCAACGAAGGGGATTATTCTTCCCACGTTCCATCATTCCTGCAAGAGCAATTCTGGAATAACCTGGGGGTTAGTCACTGAAGAGAAAAAAAAAATGTTAGGGCCTGAAGGCTCTCCTCGAAATCTTCCCTACTGCTTTTGTCATTTTTTGTTTTTTTGTTTTTTACAAAGCAAGTGCCCAATGAGCTAAGTTGCTGATCATTTGTGGCTGGGTCCCTTGTCCCTGTGTAGGACTTCCATGCACGATATGTGGCACTTAACACAAGCTCAGTGACAGGGTCATCAGGATACCTTACTACTTTTCTACTAAATGTCATGACTCTGCCAGGAGGTTTTAAATGAGCACAATTTTTCTGTGTCCTCTTGGCCTCTTAATCTCCAAGTCTCATAAAAGGTTAATCCAGGAAACACTTACTCGTTTATTTTCTTGAATGCACTTGATCACAGACGCCTCAAGAAGCATTAATTAGCTCTGCCTCAGTACCACATGCCCTGAGCATGCCCGAGTTGCAAAAGAACTTTAGGGAGGTCATGCTGGCTCACCGAATGTGGGGAGACTTGGACTACACATGTTCTATAAAGCACCCTCATAAGTATTTGAGCTTATCAAGACAAACACCCGTCCACACTGATTTCACCCCCCCCAAAATAGCTTTCCCTTTTTGTTCTTTTACTGTTTTTTTCTCACATCATTTTCTCAAGTGAGTTCAATTCACTCCCCACTTCCCCTTCCCTACTCATTTGGGTACATGACACCAAAGGATGGGAAGAAGACCTCAAGGAAATCAGCAACAGCTCACAGAAACAGCCCCAAATGGGAGACAAGAAATGATTTTGCAAAATGTGGCTTTTGATATAAATTGTTCTCTCTGGGTAAGCTCCCTTTATAATGAAAAAAAAATCTTGTATCGATTTCCTTGGGAATTGTTAGTAGCAGCTTGGGATTCAATGCATAACCTGATTATTCTCTGCCAGCCAGGCTTAGGTTCCTAGGAAAAAAAGAGATTGGACAGAGAAAAGAAAATAGTACAAAGTTTTACATGAAAACTAAAGAATAACTCATCTGTCAGAGAAAAGATTCTTTTTTTTTTTCTTTAAGGATTTTATTTATTCACTTGAAAGAGAGCGAGCGAGCTAGTGCACAAGCAGTGGGGAGATGCAGAGGGAGAGGGAGAAGCAGACCCACCACAGAGCAGGGAGCCCGATGCGGAGCTTGATTCCGGGACCCTGGGATCATGACCTGACCCAAAGGCAGATGCTTAACCAACTGAGCCACCCAGGCGTCCTATCAGAGGGAAAGATTCTTGATTTAAAAAAGTGATGAGTGTACAAATTGTTTGCCAATATTTTTGACACTTATCCTGAAAAAGCTACAATTATATGGGTTATTACAGACCTAAACATCCTGGAGGGCAGGAGAAATCATCACCCCAAATTCCCAAAACTAACAGGCTTTTTAACTCCAGAGTCTCGCAAAAGGGAACCCAATATTAAATCACTCCCAGACCAAGAGGAAAATTCATTCTCTGTGAAAACAGTCACCATCTTTCTGCTTATCAGCCCTCTGGCCGCTGCTCCTTCAAGCCAGCCTGACACCCTCAGGCTCCATCCCAGAT